ACCTTACCTTGATGAGCAGGATTGAAGATTGCTGCAAGAAAACACCAAAAGGTAAATGTACTAGGAGATGAAAATTCCTTTGAAGGAGCTCACCATTGATTCTTTAAGCAGAGAATAACCTGAAATCAGAGAGCATTCAAGAACATAACAAAAACGTGAATCACCAAAACTGCAATTAATATTTTGTTACAGAAAGAAACTCAGACATTCAAAATTCTGCCTATGGAATCAAATCAAAACCAGAAACCAGAATCCAACCCAATAGCATTCCTTTTAGTTTCTCCCAGTCCGGCATGTAATATAACAAGGTAAGAAAGTACTTAACAAGATGCAGCAATACAGAGATGAAAAACCTTAAAACTCAGAAATTAATCAAAATGTAGCCATTCATCCATTCCTTTAACTTTATAGAACAATACAAAACTTGTAAGATATAGATGCAATATCAGTCAGGTTAAGTGCATAAACAACAATACATACTCATAGCTATTGAAAGCTGGTAGATGCTATTGCTTCTAATGTGCCCTTCATCTCTCCCTCAGGCGTCTCTGCTTTCAACTCCACTCTGCTGCAAAAGAACGATCAAATCTAATTTAGCAGAGATATATGTACACTGAAACAAGAATCGGAATTCAATTAGATTTTCTTGCATTCCTAATTAGATGTGAGTAGCATAAGAAGCTTAAATCAGACTTAAACTCGCAAGAACAAAATTCGGAAACCATGTGTGTTTTCATCTCAAGACAAGTACTATTTTGGTCAACCTGCATCCTCTTTACCAGAGATAAGCTGCTCCGGATGAAAAGCTGTATGGACTTCGTCGATAACAGTAGGCTCAAGATCAACGAAGACAGCCCTAGGAACATGCTTTCCCGCACCAAATTTTGCTGAATAAAGTATTGAACGCATCGTGCGCAACACCAACTATAGTATCACTGCGAACGAAGGAACACAAACAAACAAACAAAAAGCCATGTTCGTCTCTCAAAAACCTTCGATCCATACAAACAAAATTGAAAAGAGCGATAGAAATCTATATACATACCTTTGCATCATTCCATCAGGCTGTGTTCTTCCAATAAAATGATATTCCTTAGAGAGAAAAATCCTACCTTTTCTTCATATTTTCCAAACTCATAAATGCATTATTCATCACCAAATGTGAAACCATGAAGATTCAACAACCTATGTCAATTTTCCAGCAACAAAACAAGAAACTCACATAAGCTACAAAACTCCTCATACCCTGGATAAATTCAACTTTTAGCGGTCTCATAATCAATACCAACGCAAGGACTTTGTTGTTACCACATGTGGATCAGAAAAAACTTGATTCTCCAACGGAGGTTGGTGCTCAATCGAGAGTCAATTTCTCTCACCGTCGCTGCGCAATTGAAGTCCTGCGCAAAAAAATCGAACAAATCATACAACAAAATTTCAGTGATGAACATCACAGAGAAAAATAGCAGTGAACCTATTACCAAAAACAACACATAACAAACTCATTAAACACCCATAAGCTTCACTAAAACGAAAACTCTCATGAGAATCAATTAGCAAAGAATAAATAAGAGCCAAGCTCTCTCGAAATCGCAGGTTGAATATGAGAGATCGGGAGCAGCATTATCGAGAGTTAATCCAAGAATCTGATTTTTGTCTGCACTAAGAACTACTAAACCGAGAACATCTAAACCCTGGAACCTCAGTAGAGGTAACAGATTAATTTTTTTAAGAAATCGAAACAAAAAACAGAAGTAATTGGATCTGATAAGAAAACCCAGAAGAACATAGACGAATTTTGCAAGAAAAATCAACAGATGTATTGAGAGCGAAAGGGATTGGGATCGAGCATAGTGAAAGAAGAGAGAAAGAGATAAGCCAAAAAGAGTTTTTTCTTGTAACCTAATCTCGACATATAATAATATCTAGATTTGCTTTTTAGTTTCTATACTTTTTTACTTAGAAATTTTTTGGGAGGGAATGAAAATTTTTTAGTCACATATGCTATTATTGAGCAATGATAGAATCAAAAAATTTTATGAGTCACAAACCTATAAAGTGTAACTGTTTTGTGACCAAATATTATGAGTCACAAATCTATACCCTAAACCCTAAACGTTTTGAGGCAAAAAAAGAGATAAACATGCATCTACAATGACTCTTTTTCTATTTCTTGAGTATATCTTACAATATATAGATTACACTAATACTAATCAACTAAATTTTGAAAATTATTTAACTTGAACTAATTTTCTTTTATAAACATATGTATATCTTCATAAAACATGTAAGTTACATGTGATGAACCAACATTAGTTAATCCATTTGAAATTGGAAATTTTCAGTAATATAGGTAATATATATTGGTGTAACTAGTGATTGAATATTCTATAAAAACTTAAAACTAATGTATTTACAATAATATTATGGTGATTTCCAAAAATCATATGAATTAGTCGTAAAATAGTAGCAAAGTAGACGGATTTAAGACTATTTTAACTGACTAAATAGACAGTCATAATTAGTCGTAAAACGGTCGCAAAATCTACGACCAACAAAACCACTCGATTATTAGTCTTATTTTCGTCGCGAATTAGTGACGGATTGCGACCATATTTCTTCATCGTAAATCTGCGACGATTTTGCTACAATAATGTAGATGGTCACAAATGTGTCACAAAATCATCACAAATTGGCAGTTTTCTTGTAGTGTAAGAGAAAAGAAGAATTTGTAGAAAATGTAGCTCATTAAGATCAACATATGAATTTTTTAAAATATATCACCCAAAAGAACAAAAATAAAACATGTTGAGAAACGGCTAAGAAACTCATTCATCAAAGCTAAAAACATGTAAAAGAAATCAAACTAATAATCAGAAAACTACAAAATCTTAATCTAAGTTCGATTTATAAAATGCAAAATTAAGAAAAAAATTCAAGACAGTTTCACAAAACTGGTTTTCATGTTGATCAAAGAGACATTTTAAACCAAACATGATGCATAATACATGAAAAAAACTCACCAAATTGTATATACATGAAAATGTATAGAGAGAAAAGCAATTCTTAATTATAGGTTATAGAAAACAACAAACCTCCTTGATTTTCAAATCAGTAGGATTCAAGCAAAGAAATAGATGAGAAAGCAAGTAAAACATGTAAACAATATTTAAAAGGATTAATAGATGAGAAGCATGTAAGCAGTAAAGACATGTTAGATAATATTGTAATCATGGGGGTTAGATGATTTCCAACATAACACCTTAACTGTTCTCTGGAATTAAGTAATCTATGGAAGTACAACGATGTAAATTCCTATAGGAGATCCAATGGTAAAAAATTCTGAGATCTAGAGAATCAAAAGAGATCTACATAAAGAAAAAGAAAAAAAAAAGATATTAAGAAATTGAGTTAGATCTTACATCCACAATTAGCAATAGAAGGATCGTGAAGCTTGCATGCTGCAGGAAGTGTAGAAGTTTTAGTGATATTCAAAGTAACTCTAAGAGAAGCACTGCTTTTAAATGCTTCACAGAGACATTTAAACATCATCTTAAGCTAGAGTAATACGAACCTTCCGGTGTCTTTGCCGTGCTTAATATGAGAGTCGAACATTCAACAGACGGTGCCGGATGAGAAGAAATGGAGTCGCGAACCGATTTGCAGACTTAACAGAGACATGTTGAATATAGATGGAGTGGAACAAGAAACAATGAGGTATTGTA